CTCGATAATGCGGTGTACTCGACCACAACCTACTCAAATGCTCAATTGTTCCTGAAAAATATTTTTTAGAAGGCAAGATATATAGCAGAGAATATCGAGTATGTACAAAAAAAACTGCATAGATCTTCTAGCATTATTAGGACATGACGAGCAGATGTAAATATCAGGCGTTATGTAAACCATAAGCAAGCATGATTTATACGGAAGAAAACAGAGTGAGCCCCTAACGTTAGATCGTAGTCGATTTAACATCAGGGACATTCGCGCAATAGATATTGTACAGAAAACATGCTGTAGGTAAACATAATAAATTATTGATCTGACAATGCTGTATGATCTGAATAGGTACGATAAATTATATATAAAATATTGCGTACCTTTGTAGATATATGCCGGATATATCTACGAAATTAGTAGATCAATTAAATTAATTAATCTACTAATTACCTTGAATGACCTGTGTGTCACGTCGAGATGTCCTTGGATGGTTATGTGACTAATCAAAGCCATTAATCAACTCCTTAATCAAGCGCCTGTATATGAGTAGCATCGGTCTTGGCTTCTGTACTCTGTAGCCAGACATGGCACGTTGATCTCCCTTCCATCTCACTGTTGTACACGTATCCGAACTAGCCAGACATGGCACGTGTGTTTTTAATGTTGGATTTGGAGGAGATGCCGTCTTCGATTTGAACTCATCAGGATGCCCGTCGATGCTTGCTCCGTATCCTCCCTGCTCGATGCCAGATCGATTTGTGACGTCGCCTCCACGGTCAGAGCAGATACTCCGATTGATGAAGTAGATTGAATTGTCGATGATGATGGTTCCGATCTCGTCGGAAGATATACTTCGGTCGGGTTAGATCTCCACAGCCGAAGTCATCGAGTAGCTTGTTGTTGGAGAATCCATCTTTTGAACCCATCTCGTCGAAATCCTGAAGCACCAAAATCCCCTTACCTGGCGCTCCATTGTCGACGTTTGATGTCTCGACTATAGTATTTGGACAGTATGGGGATCGTTGGTGCTAGGATATACGCGAGACTGAGGTAAAAGAGATGGAGACTGGGATTTTTATACAGGTTCGGGCCCCTCAGAAGGTAATAACCCTACATCCTGTTGGCCGAAGCCGATGTTGCTCTTTATTCACCATAATCACACCAGTACAATATTTGGGGTAGCCTATCTAACTGTTGTCGACATGGCGGTCTGAAGATCTGACTCGTAGTCGTCAACAGGGTAGCCTTCCTCCTCGAGCTCGTGCCCGGCGAGATCAGAGACAGCGCTGGATCCATACGGCCGGCCTCTGAAGGTACCGGATAGGGTTGATCCAGGTATATCTCTGATGTCGATATCCGGCGTCTTGTCTTGGCGTATGTAGGCTTGTACGTTGTGGCTTCTATTATTCCGTAGATTGTGGTCGGTGTTGATTGTGTTGGTTGTGTCCTCCCCCCTCTCCTCCTAGGGGGCCTTGTATTTATACCCATAGGTGTCCCCTTGTCCAAGTAGAACTAGGGAAACCAATATGGATACAATCCGAGTAGTCTTTGTCGTTTCCATGTAGAACTCTGGTTGTCTTTCCTTATCTGGAACTCCCTCCATATCCGAAGTCAGTTTCCGTATAAGACATGGTATGTGGTGGGTCCTGCCGAGATTTAGTCAACTACTATTAGGTATGTGGTATCTATTATCCTGACATGTATATAATAAAAGTAATTTACAAATATAAATATTTTTTCATCGTAATATAATCACGTAAGATCTTGTTGTGAAGATTTAATTGTAACAAACACAATGGTGTAATTGGATTGTAGATCGGATAAGTAATTTGAGAGAAAACTTTATAAGAACGAAGAAAAAGACATGCATGTCTAAGAGGAAAAACAACATGCACATCAGCACGTGTAGCAGCACTTCTTCTCACAATTGTTTCGTCGCTGGTTGATACTAAACCGAGAGGCTTGTCGGTTTAGATTTTGCCATTTCGATTCATTTGTTTCTCTACTAATCCAACAAGGCAACTCTCGGTTTAGTGTTAACTAGCGACGGAACAATTGTGAGAAGAAATGCTGCTACACGTGCTGACGTGCATGCTATTTTTTCTCTTAGACATGCATGTCTTTTTTGTTCCTTCTTATAAAGTTTTCTCACAAATTACTTATCCGATCTACAATCCGATTACACCATTGCGTTCGTTACAATTAAATCTTCACAACAAGATCTTACATGATTATATTACGATGAAAAAATATTTATATTTGTAAATTACTTTTATTATATACCGTTAATAGTGAAATTTGGTAAGCCCAAAGTTACCATCGGCTTAGAGTCAGTATCGGGTTCAAAGTTCTAGAATCAGCCGATGGGAGTCAAGTCGCCACGATGTCATGTTCTTGGTGGAGTCGGATCAATGAAAGGAAACTTATCTAGAAGAGTCCGAGTTCAAGAAGGATGCGATATGACAGTTTATCTATTAATTAGGCATAGTTTGTTAGTTTCCTTTTATCTTTAGGAAAGTGTGTTTAGTGTCCGATAAGGACTTTATCTTTTCCTTTTTAGTTTCTTTCTTGTCTGACAAGGACTAGTAACTCCCTATGGGTATAAATATGTACACTCGGGGTCATTGTAATCTATCAATCTATCGATCAATAATACTCTCGGCGCATCGCCACCCTCTTCCCTGAGGTTTTTACTTATCTTCCGGCGGAATTTGGGCACCTGACGCGGGGCTGCATCAGCTTTCGATCTCCAGCGAAGGGTTAAGTCCTACGTTCTATCGGGCCCTGGTGAATCTGTTGGCTACGTTGGTGTTGTTCAAGGCTGCATCGATTCGATCTCTTGGATCGCTCTGATTTGGTTGATATATTTGCCTACCTGATATCTCAATTCTATCTCTAGTTGCATTGTGTTTAGAGACGCGTCGGTTTAGTTGGGACTGTCTCGGTTAGGTCTGATCTCCTATCTTAGCCAATATATCTCTACAATCACAATGCTGTTATAAATAAATTTGTTATATCCATCACATTAGACAGATCTATCGGCTCATCGAGTATTAGATTATCATATACAATCTCGTACTGCATCGGTTAGGTTCGATCTACTAGATTGTTGTTGATAATATAAGTCTTGTTAAGCCGATAGGTTCATGCTAATGTTTTATCGGGGTGCTAGCCGATAAGTTATTTGGACGTTGCATCGGCTTATAAGGATTACATATACATATAAATTGGATTTAGCCGATTGCAACAAAGGTTTCACTATTTAATCTAATCTTGTGGATTTTATGACATCGGACCTCCAGCCGATGTATGCTTTAACCTTCGGATCGATGCTTATTTATCATATCATTATTTGCTGATTGGTTTATATTGAATTATATTGTTATTTTATTACCTCATCATCAGCCGATTGCCTTTATATCATTATCTACATTGGACATATAGCCGATTGCTTAAACTATATCGCTATCGGCTGGTATCGGCATTGGCTATTATCGGCTATCGGCTGGAACTACTTCATCGGCTTGTCAGCCGATCGGCTGTTTGATCTACTATTTGCATATCTTGTCAGTTGTAGGATCAATTGACTGGCACGCCCGCATCTCATCAATCTTTGGAGCTGCACTGGAGCTAACAGATCTCCCAGGCCGGTGTGTTCGATTTTTTCGTCAACATATACGTAAGTTACTTTTATCATATATATATATATATATACACACACATATATATATATATATATATGTATATATATATAAAAGTTACTTTTAGATTTGACTAAGTTACTTCTTAGACATATAAAAGTAAATTCAATAAAGTCTAAAAATAATTTACATATATTATAAAAGTATCTTAAAACAAAACGGAAGTAATTTTGTTACGACATTAGAAGTAAATTCGTTGTAGGGATAAAAATATACTTTATCTAGATATTAAATTTAATCAGCACAGATCAACACATGTAAGTTTAACAATTTTTAAAAGTAACTTCAATGTTAATTGGAAGTAACTCTCTATACATCTGTTTAATCACCGATTTTTTTCCTTTCATTTTTGTTTTTCATGTGGAATGAGAAAAGAAGATAAAACCTTTGATGAATTGTAAATAACACTAATGGAATAAACAATAAGAATTAACCATGTATAAGATGTAATAGTTACTTCCTGATAACATGTAAGTTACTTTCTAACATGTAATAAATTACTTTTAAATTAATAAAATGAGAATATATTCAATATGAATATCATTTTGTCACATATTTTGAGTGGAGTACAATGATGCAAATAGATCTTAAAAACAATATGTGATTTAAAAGATATAAGTTATTAAAGAGATTAAAAAGATATATACTATTGGAGTACAAACCAGCAGTCACGTCCAATAAAAAAAGACATGCATTAAAGTTACTTTCTTTTTGTTATAAGTTACTTATATAATAATTCTATAATATATGTAAATTACTTTTAAGCTTTATTGAATTTACTTTTATATATCGAAGAAGTAATTTAGTGAAATCTAAAAGTAATTTAGATATATTATAAAGTAATTTATAATTTTTCATCAAAATATAAACATGTGAGATCTTGTTATAAAGATTTAATTGTTACGAACACAACGGTGTAATCGGATCGTAAATCGGATGAGTAGTTTAAGAGAAAATTTTATTTGAAGTATAGATAGATAGGGTCTCTTATAGATAGAGTGGTAGCTGATTTAGACACTAGCTATATAGTCACGTCCATTCAAAATACTAAACCAATTCGAGAATTAAGCTGCAAATCAAAAATCGCCCGGAATCCTTTCTTTCTCTTCATCACGAATTTATAAGCAAGCAATTGGAGAGTCAGATATCAACACGTACTTAACGATCTCTCCGTGTCTTAGCTGAATAGGCCAGCTTCTTTTTTCGTATAAGAACACATGTGTTCAATTAGTTCGGACTCAAATCTTCTACGCACAACGGCCATAAATTAAACAGGTGACGAGTACGTGTCCAGCGGAAGGCATGTCGACGGCGACCCCCACGCCCAACGTCGTCGACGGCGACTGCGGCGGCACCCCGCCGTCACGGTCAGCCTCCACCATCATCGCGGCACGAACCCTCCATGTGCTCACGATTCATGGCTACTCCGACACCTTGAAATCCAACGTCGACCCTAGCCAGCACCTGCTCCTTTCCTCTCCGTTCAGCGCTGGAGGACACACCTGGTGCATCCGCTACTGCCCAATCGGGTGCACTGAGGAAAGCAAGGACTTCATCTCCATCTACCTCGTTCTCGAGGACACCATCACCGACGTAGTATCGGCACAGGTTACGTTCAGCTTGCTCGACCAACAGGGGAACCCGATGCCATCTCACACCCTCACAACCCCACTGCTTAAATTCTCTCTTCAAGGCACTCTACCTAAGGCCCTGGGGTATAACAGCTTCATCAGAAGAGACGACTTAGAGCGATCTGGACATCTCAAGGACGATTGCTTTGCCATTGGGGTCCATGTGGTTGTCACCAAGGAAGCAGAACCGTCATCCATCACCGTGCCACCATCGGACATGCACCTGCATTATGGCGATCTTCTCTCGAGTGAAGAACGGTACGCCACCGATGTTGAGTTCCTAGTTGGCGGCGAGACCTTCACCGCGCATCGATTGGTGCTCGCAGCACGATCACCTGTCTTCATGGTGGAGCTTTTTGGGCCGATGAAGGAGGGTACTACTGTAAACAAGATACATATATTTGATATGGAGGCGCAAGTATTCAGGGCTTTACTTAAGTTTATCTACACAGACATGTTGCCGGAGATGGATCAAGAAGATGAGACCGCAATGGTTCAACATCTACTTGTTGCAGCGGATAAGTATGGCTTGCATAGGCTGAAGATGATCTGTGTAGAAATATTAAGTAACCATATTGATGCCTACTCCGTGGCAACCATCTTGGTGCTAGCTGAGAAGCACTATTGCTATGGTCTCAAGGAGGCATGCTTTGAGTTCCTTAACTCCTCAGCAATATTGTCCGCGATTGTAAATACAAGTGACTTTCTGTATTTGATCCAAAGCTGCCCTGATGTTTTGGAGGACATAAGTTTCAACATCGTTGCTCGTCAATTGGAGAGAGCAATTTTCCTATCAGAAAACCAAGAAGGCCAAATCAACAGCGTAGAAATCAGAATTAATTCGGTCATGACAAATTGACAAAATGACAAATTGAGGTATCTAGAAGTACTTTAGCTAAATATTTTCAATATTATATGTTCAAATCAGTTTTTGTCTCCCGTACTCACGAGCTAGCTGCATGTGCTTCTTAAACTTAATTATATATCAACTTTAAATCCTCCATTGTACATATATCTATATCTCTACTCCTTTAAAAACAAAGTAGTGATGATAGTTGGTGGTGAATCTGCCACCGTTCTCACCACCAACTCTTTACCGTTTCGAGGTGAAGAAATGACATGTGAGGCCATGGGAACCACATGTCAACTACCCCACCACTAGGGATGAAAACGGTACGGTAACAGACGAAAACCATCTTTATCGTTTTCCTTTTTATATTTTTTTAGAATCGGAATTGGAAACTCCGGATACGAAAACAGAATCGAATATTATCGAAACCGAAAACGGAGCGAAAACGAATCGGCGCGAATACAGTAACGAAAATTTATCGGAATACAAAAACCCCACAAACTGATAAATCCAATTCTCAAGTCTCAACGGTCGACAATTCATCATAAAACACAATCTGTTGATGCGAAAAACACACACTGGCCTGGGAGATCTGCTTAGCTCCAGTGCAGGTCCAAATCTTGGTGAGGTGCGGGCGTGCCAGTCAATTTGATCCTACAACTGACAAGATATGTAAACAGTAGATCAAACAGCCGATCGGCTGATAAGCCGATGGAGTAGTTCCAGCTGATAGCCAATGCTAGGCGATGCCGATACCTGCCGATGTCGATAAGGTTTTGAGCAATCGGCTATATGTCCAATGTAGATAATGATATAAAGACAATCGGCTGATAATAATAAATATAACAATAATATAATCCAGTAGAAACCAATCGGCTAACAACATGATATAATAGAACAAGTATCTATCCGAAGGTTAAAGCATACATCGGCTGGAGATCCGATGTTATAAAATCCACAAGATTAGATAAATCAATGAAACCTTTGTTGTCATCGGCTAATATAAGCCGATGCAACGTCCAGATAACTTATCGGCTATCATTCCGATAAAACACTAGCATGAACCTATCGGCTTAACAAGATTTATATTATCACCAACTATCTAGTAGGTTGAACCTAACCGATGCAGTATGAGATTGTATGTGATAATCTAATACTCGATGAACCGATAGATCTGTCTAATGTGATGGACATAACAAATCTATCTATAACAGCATTGTGATTGTAGAGATATATCGGCTAAGAGGGAAGATCAGACCTAACCGAGATAGTCCCAACTAAACCGATGCGTCTCTAAACACAATGCAATTAGGAATAGAATTGAGATATCAGGTAGGCAAATATATCGACCAAACCAGAGCGATCCAAGAGATCGAAGCAATGCAGCCTTGAACAACACCAACGTAGCCGATAGATTAACCAGGGCCGACGGAACGTAGGACTTACCCCTTCGCCGAAGATCGAACTGAACCGATGTAGCCCCGCGTCAGGTGCCAAATTCCGCCAGTTGATAAGTAAAACCTCGGGAAAGAGGGTGGCGATGCGCCAAGAGTAGTTGTATTGATCGAGAGATTATATTACAATGACCCTGAGTGTACATATTTATACTCATGGGTAGATAATAGTTCTTATAGGACACTAAACACACTTTCCTAAAGATAAAAGGAACTAACAAACTATTCCTAATTAATAGATACACTTACCATGCCGCATCCTCCTTGAACTCGGACTCTTCTGGATAAATTTCCTTTAATTGATCCGACTCCATCAAGAACACAACTGCTGACGATTTGACGACTCCCATCGGCCGATTTCAAGACTCTGAAGCCGATACTGACTCTAGGCCGATGATGACTTTGGGGCTTACCATATTTCACTGTTAAAACAATCATATAAGTCCAATTGTTAATCTCAATAGTACATCACAAAACACAACCTATAGAATAAATTATCTATATTTAAGAGAGTAACGTTGTTGATAAATCCCAATGCATGAAAAAAAAAAGATTCTTATGTAACTTCAGATTTGCATAACACATATTTTTTAAAAAATAACAGTCAAATATCGTGGTATTCACTATTCAGTGCTTAAAAAAAGAATCCAGGGTATTTCAGTCACAAAATTTCCCGAAATTCCGAGAAAATTTCTTGAAAGTTTCCGACCGATTCTGAGCTTCGACGGAAACTGCCCTTCATTTTCGATTCCGTTTCCGAGAAAATACTACCGAATTCGTTTCCGTTTCCAAAAAATTCCGACCGACAGATTTCGTTTTCGAAAATAGGTCCAGAATCCGGAAAGTTTCTATACCGTTTTCACCCCTACCCACCACCATCTCTACTTTTTGTGAATAGAAAAAAAGGATATTGTGAGACCATAGGACACATTATTAATTACAAATATATGTAGAATTTGAGAGAAAATGTATATAGAAAATCATGATAATAGCTGGTTAATAATCATTTTCATCAATTGAAATCCTGTTGCAATGCACGGACAATATGCTACTCACTCTATCCCAGTTTGATCATCACATATGGTTTTTAAGGTGTTCACAAAATGATCATCCTAACAAGTGCATCTTTGCTTATTTGTGCCAATAGTAAATGAGTATCATTGCATGCAACCAACCAAGATTAATTTTTATTGATTCAAATACATGCAATATTTAAAACTTGATGCAATCCACGGAACACGAAGCGATGTACTCCCTCCGTTTCAAATTGATCTACATCTTTCATAGGTACTTCAAGACCAAGAAAAACTAATAACCCTCTCATACTATATTTACTCTAGCAACAAACTCAATGCATGCACCATCCTCACTATTTCGTAGCCAATAGCAAATCAATATATTGCATGTGGGTTATAAATACATGTGTGCATGGATGCATGCATCAATGTTCATTTACTCCAATGCACAAATAACGAATAGACCTAATAAATGAACACAAATATGTAGATCGTTTATAAATAAACTTAAAAAAAACTATATATAGATCAATTTAGAATGGAGGGAGTAGCACCTTAATTTTTATCCCAATGAGAATTAATTACAGAATGATGAATATTTCATTATCTTTGGTCTCCGCATTATTTGTTTAGGTGATGATCAAAATGGGATGGAGGGGTAGTATATATGACCTGTACTTCGGGTGGCAACGACATGCAAGGCAGCAAGAGGCAAGGAGAGTGTGGGTGCGACGACGGACGGCGGGGTGCGGGGGCATGCAGAGAACAGGCAAGTTGCAAGGGAGCAAGGCACATTATTGATTAATGATTAGCTTATCGATTAACAAAACTCCTGGTGGGCAGCTGACCGCGCGCGGGGGCAGGTGCGCGGTCAGTTCAGCCCCTATACGTAAATAATAAATATAAAGTGTATACATGCGTTCAGTTCAGCCCCTATAAGTAAATAATAAATATAAAGTTTATATGTATAGTACAAACTTTTATTAAAGCGGGCCAAGCTCACGTGATGAAAATGGAGAAAATGGTCCAAATTAAACATGTGTTTTACCTTTAAAAAGGAGGGTAAACGGACTAAGCCCATATGATAGAAATGAGCAAAGTGTACATATATTATCAAAAACAGGAAAGGTAAACGGGCTGGCAAAAATCGAAACTTCTAATGGGCGATCCATCGCCCTAGCGATCGGGTAGCGATCAGGTCGCCTCCTCTCCCCCACATTATTTTTGGCACCGTATTACTTTTCTATTTTATTAAATTTATACACCTAAAGTTTGTACACCTCAAGTTTACACATCTAAAGTTTTGAGACTTAAAGTTTATAAATCAAAAGTTTATATATTCGATTCAAATTTGAATTTGAATTCAAATATTTTTTATATATAGTATTTATATACATCTAAAGTTTATAGACCTAAAGTTTATAAGTCAAAAGTTTATATACCCGATTCAAATTTGATTTTGAATTATATCCGATTCAAATTTAAATTTGAATTTGAATTCAAAATTTTTTTATACATAGTATTTCTATACATCTAAAGTTTATACATCTAAAGTTTATGAACACAAAGTTTATAAGTCAAAAGTTTACATACCCGATTCATTCAAGTTTGAATTTGAATTATATCCGATTCAAATTTAAATTTGAATTCAAATATTTTTATATATAGTATTTCTATACATCTAAAGTTTATAGACCCAAAGTTTATAAGTCAAAAATTTACATACCCGATTCAAATTTAAATTTGAATTCAAATATTAGTTTATAGACCCAAAGTTTATAAGCCAAAAGTTTGTATACCCGTTTCAAATTTGAATTTAAATTCAAATATTTTATATATATAGTATTTCTATATATAAATTTTTCTAACTTTGTTTTTTTAATTTTTTAAAATTTATGGTGTAGTAGGAAATTTTTTAAAATTTATGGTGTAGTAGGAAGAGAAGAAGGGGATGAGGAAGAGAGGAGAGTAGTGTATAGTGGGGCGATGGGGATCGGCGATCTATCGATCATTAGCCACCCCCGGCAAAAATTCTCCTGGCCTGAAAACAGCATAACAAGCTGCGTCGTGTGCACGGTGAGCCGTGCGACTGACTACTTTTGTACTTTTATTTATTTGTAGTTCTAATTAGAAAGGTAGCCCGTACAAATACACGGGTATGTATCTAGGGTTCACTTGGGATACTTGTATACCATCAACAGGAGTATTCGTGCTACATTTCAAAATTAAGATTTGTCTAAAAATCTTCTTAACCGGTATAGCTTGGATAACTTTTTCTAAGCTATTTATTGGCTTTATACTACTCTCTCCGTTTTAGGTTATAAGATGTTTTGACTTTGTTCAAAGTCAAACTACTTTAAGTTTGATTAAGTTTGTAGAAAAAAATAGTAATATTTTCAACCCAAGACAAATTTATTATGAATATATATTATATAACTATATATAACTATTATATGGCATTTTAATTTTAAGGTGCTACGTATTAAACGGCACCGGTGTCACAGTGACCTGACCCACCCACTCCTCACCACCCCACTCCCCTCCCGACTCCACCCACTTTGATTCATGAGTTAAATTTTTACTGCTACATAGCCTACCATATATATCCACGTTTAGTCAGTTAAATCTTAACTATGTGTGATTCAGCAACTATAATAAACGTGACTTAGCATATTGAGTTATTTATTAACTAAAGGAATCTTTTTTTACTCATGCCTTAATTTTTTTTTGTAATTATTATTTCTCTTCTGTTTCATTATGTTTTTGCAAAAATTAAAGTCTATGTTTTTTTATTTTTTTTATGAATCAAATATTCTTTTTTTCGCTCACATTGAACAAGTCAGTTAATTTTTAACTATGTCTGATTCAACAACTATAAAAAACCAGACTTACCGTATTGAGTTATTTATTAACTCAAGGAAACTTTTTTTTCTCATGCCTTAATTTTCTTTTTTTGTTATTATTATTGTTCTTCTAATTAATTATGTTTTTGCAAAAGTTAAACGTCTATTTATATTAGGTGTTGATACAGCTGTACGCCTGTACCCACCATTCTCATTCTTTAATTTCTCATACGATCCTGATTTTTCAGATCGATGACGAGACATATGTGAGGAGATCCTAACATCCCTCAACTATCGAGGCGGATCTGGGGGGATTGACGCCCTGTTCTTCTTCATAGCCGGCGGAGGAGCGTTGGCGGTGACATCTCCGACAGCATGGACTCGTCAGTGCGGTGGTGCCGATGGTCTTCTCCCTCGGGAGTGAGATTTTGTTTTTCTGTAACTTTTTTATTTTCTTTTTGTATTTTTTACAGCAGCAAGGAGGCTACCCCGATTTACGCGGATCTGGCGACGGTGCGGCGGTGGCAGCCATGCGGGCGAGGCCATCCCGAGCGGTGGCCGGTGACTGGGCGACCTGGTGGGGTGGAGCAGCGGTGGCGTGGTGGTCGTCGGCAGGGACGCCATCGGATTTGTGGCCACCGATGGCCGTCACGACCAGGAGCAGCCGCAGCATCATCCCTTCTCCCATCGCCTTCCATTGCAGTGGCAGGCCAGGCCTGATGGCGTCACATCCATGGCCGCTTCCTCACCACCGCCATCACTGTGGAAGATGACGGCGGGAGGGACAGCAGCAACAAGAGGAGGCGGTGGCACCGCCGACACAAGCAAGTGTCATCGACGGGCTACGACGGCAACAAACATCCACCATGCGCGGATGCGCCGCTACCGCCCATTGGGCCTTCTACCCTCCTTCCAAGCAACTCCCTATGGTGGTCCCAGCACCACTGGGAATCTGGGATGGCCTCCGGTCCGTCGGTGGAGGCTGCAGACGAGATGACGGCGCTTGGATCTACGGGACTACGGCTGCAGGTCTTCATCGTCGGCTGTCGAGCTCCAGCCAGGCCTCTTCCTATCAGTGCTGCCTGGATGCTCTGTGTGGTGGGGGTTTTTCTCTGAGGCGTCGATGCCTCGTTCATCTTCACCGGCGGAAGGAGCAGAAAGGAGGACGACGATTGAACAGTCGACGCCCGCTATTTCCGTTTTTTCTATCTAGACATCATCGAGAGCAACCCATATTTATTTCCTCACCCCGTGTCCATGTTCTTTTTTTGTTCCTTTTTTTTTTCCCACCGTGTGTATAAGTGTATCAAGATCACTACATGCACGTGATTCATCCCAGCGGAGTTAAAAAATTACTAGGCCATGTCTTTTTTTATGTCAACAAAAATCTTACTATGCCCACTGGGAATGATAAAGTGAAAATGCGCAGTAATTTTTTTACATGATAAGTTTATGAGAGACCCCAACAAGGGAAAATATATGGTGAAAACTACATATGTGGTGAAAACATGAAAACTACTTTTGGATCGAAAAATAGATGTTCATCAACATCATCACGAGTAAAAATTTACTCGCATATTCACTCATGAGTAAAATTATATATATTGTCTTTTGGCCTGCATGAATTGGCCCTATATAAATGTCACTTGATTTGGGTTAAATGTTTGATAGATGAACGATCATTTTTACCACATGCATTGGCTGGAGTAGAGGAAGCGCTTGAATTTACAGTTGCTAACTAGCTAAGTGTTGGAGAAGGATTTTTGTCATTTGGAGGACATCCCCTCATTTGTGCATGACGTTTAAAAGTCATCATTTTTTTAAAGATATATCAATATGTGATGTCATTCTAAAAACATGCAAATTTAAATTTGACTTATACATTAGAAACAAAAACAACAAATTTGACTGCGAATCACATGTTCTGTTCACTGTTAAATTTGTTATTTTTTTTCTACTTATATAAGTTAAATTTAAACAACATGTTTATGGAGTGGCATATCATATATTGACATGTCTTAATAAATTTTTATATTTTTTATTACTTCTTAAACGACATGAAAAACAGGAGGACATCCCTTCAAGGGATGAATAGAGTTTCCCCTATGTGTTAAGCCTTCATGCATGTAGTTTCATGATACTCCATCCATTTTATATTATAAGTCGCTTTAAGTTTTTTAAAGTCAAACTTCTTTAAAGTTTGACTGAATTTATAAAAAATATAGTGACATTTATAGCATTAAATTAGTTTTATTAAATCTAATATTGAATATATTTTGATAGTCCCATGTGGCCTACGTGGCGCGTGGGACCCACATGGGCCCCATATGTCAGCGTGCCACGTCAACTCCCCTTTCCCCCTCTTCTTTCCCTTCTCCCCTCTCTCTCTTTCTCGCACTCTTCTCTCGTAGGCCGGCGTCCTCCTCTGCCGCCACATCAAAAGCAGGAAGGGTGCCCACCGGCGGGGAGAAGGGGCGCCGTGCGTGCCGACCCGGGCATGCGTGCCGCGGCGGGATCCGGCGGGGACGAGGGGGACGACGACGCCGACGAGGAGGAGAGGAGGAGGTCAGCGTCGCGACGGCGGCACGCCAAGGGAGGGTCGGCGCCTCCGGTGTCATCGCCGCCGCACCGAAGAAGAGGGTGAAGAGGGGGGGTTGGATTTGGAGCATGATCGATGCTCATCCATCGATCCGACGTGCTCGGATTCCCACTTCGATCCCCCCTTCACCTTCGTCTTCCTCTCCTCTCCGCTCTCCTGCTTGCTTCTTCTCCGCTGTCTCTCCGATGGGCTCAGCTTCAGGTGAGCGAGTACACCTCGTCTCTTCTGCGTCAGCTTTGTGTTCCAGTGTACGTGCTGCTGACATGTGCGATCAACGATTGAATTGAAGAGCATGATGTCAGGGAGCACCTCCTGGTCGTGGACGGCGTCGGGGAAGAAGGGACGACGGTGGTGGCGGGGGGGGGGGGGGGTGTTGACGGTCCTTAAATCATAATATCTGACCGTCAATACCTGCATATAATGAAGTAAAACATGGTATCCAACTTAGTGGTAGGTATTACTACTAATCATTTCCACTAGTGTTGGTGAAATGTGTGTATGCAGGTAATTTGAGGAGAAAACACATCCGTCATGTGACAAAATGCACCTCCGCGCATTCAGAACGCGTTTACACGGATTAGAGGCCCAATAAGTCAATAAAAACCATTTAGAATTGAGCCAAAACATAGCCCAGGTTATTGGGGGCCCACTAAGCAACCTCCCGGCCGAAGGAGAGGCCGGGAGGACACTTCGGCCGAACCTGTTCTGCGGCCGTTCATCGGCAGATTACACGTGTACGCTCCTGATCACTTCCCAATGGCGGTTCCGGAGAATTTTGGACATTTCGCATAGGCTGTAACCGTCATACCCGCCTATAAAAGGAGGAGCTCACTCTCATTCCAAGACACACAACTTTGAGCTGAATTACAAGAGGCTCTATTGTATCTTTTATACATTAGAATAAGATAGAGAGTGAGGGGAAGCTCTGGAGGAGTGCCCGGAAGTTTGGCGCTCATCCGACTTCTACCTCGACGAGTGTAGCTTCCTAGGAGGAATTCTGGAGGAGTACCGGAGCTGTCGGTACACTCTACTCTGGGTTCGGAGAACTTCTTCTATTAAGTAAGCATTCGTGTTCCTTTCTTATGTTATTTAATTACTTAGTCTGAGTAAGATATATTTTCATCTTTGCGGGTTCATTGTTTAGTATTTGTACTAAGTGCTCTAGTACTAGGACTCTAGATAGAGAATGAAGTTCCTGTACAAGTATTAGAGTAGTAATTAATAGCTTAGACGTGGTGTCTAGGTTAGAGATTACCTTTATTTGTTTTGTATCCCACGGATTTGTTAGAGGTAGGCGGCAGGTGGTGATAGCCCTGAATTCCGTCCCAGTAATCCTCCACGTTCGGATACATCATAGAGCTATAGCCGGAACCACGCTGGCAGACCAGCAGGGGTCGATGCACGAAGCAACAGATAGGAAATTACCTTTGCTTAGCTTAGATAATTAAAGCACATAGAAAGTCCTCTCTAGCCTAACCTACCTATAGTTGTTGTCCTTGGATTGTCTTAGCCTTAGGTAGATTTCACACGTTCCCTGAGTTCGATATCCTTTTGGGGTCACCCGAAGGTAAAGTGCTACAGCGGTATTCCGTGCGCTTGCGGATTTATCTGTGATCGTAAGAAATACCAACAGGAGGGGCGAAGAGACGGGTGCTGGGGCTGACGCGGCGGTCGGAGGCGAGCGGCGAGGAGATCCTGCAGAGCGTCGACCTGGACGTGCCGCGAGGGGTGGTCGTCGGTGTCATCGGGCCCAGCGGCAGCGGCAAGTCCACGCTGCTCCGCGCGCTCAACCGCCTCTGGGAGCCTGCGCCGGGTGCTGTGCTCCTCGACGGCGTCGACATCTGCGGTATCGACGTCCTCGCGCTCCGCCGCAAGGTCGCGCCGCCGCCCTCCTCTCTCCCGCCTCGCCTGCCGGCCTCTGCAGTCTGCACCCGCCGCTTTGCCTCGCCCAGAAAGAGAGAAGAGGAGAAAGAGGAAGGGTGATGACGTGGATTACGCTGACATGTGGGTCTCATGTAGGTCCCACGCTGACTCAGCCTCCACGTATCCTAAAACCGGGGTCAAAACCGCTGAGGGACCTTTTGTGACCGGTTTTGATTAGCTAAGGGATACGGGATATCTGGTTTTGCGGTTTGAGAACGATTTTGTATATGGATGACAAGTTGAGGGACCTTGGGTGCACTTTTTCCAAATTATCAGCTAGCTTGAACTCGTCATGAACTCATGATAGGATGATATTGGTTACAGAAACAACTAAAAAGACTCTACGGAGAGATCCAAAAGTAATGGTAGTAGTTACAAAATCCTAGAATTTCATGAAATGTGAGTGAGTGCATGATTTTGTCATCAACTCGATCGAATTTCCTTAATAGGCTCAACTGGAGCGCCTCTGAAACTTGGGCCTCATGTAAGCCCAGATCTTGTGGAGAAAGTAAGCTACGGCCCAGATGGATAAACGGCTTGCGCCGCCTAGCTTATCCTAGACGTCAAGATTGGATGCAACGGTGAAGTTTGCAACACATGGCTCATTTTCCTCTGTTATATTTTCCATATGAGATACTACTCCGCCTTAAAAAAATCAATCCTAGTATAAACTTGAACACGCATATATCTAAATTCGTAGTTAGGATTGGTTTTTTATGAGACGAAGGGGTACACATGGTTGAAATTAATATTTATATAACCTAATAATTACTTCCTCTGTTTTATGCTATGAAACGTTTTGACTTTTTTCTAAATCAGACTTCTTTAATATTATCCAAGTTCATAGACAAATATAGAAACATTTTCAACACCAAGCAAATAAAGAATCAAAATATATGCATGTTTTCATTACATTGAAAATCTTTAGCTAACCACATCGGGCATTTGAATTTTGCCATGGCTGAATCCTAATGTCTACCTTGTTAATTTTGCCTCCCTCATTTTCCGGAGAGAAAATTGCCTTCTCCAACTGAGAAGCAACAATGTTAGAAATTATATCCTCCAAAATATTAGGATGGCTTTGGGTTAAATACTGAAATTCATCTGTTTCTATGATCTTAGCCAGTGCTGTTGGGGAGCTAAAGAACTCGATGCACGCCTTGTTCAGACCACGACAATTGTGCTTGTCGGTTAGCACCAAGAGGGTTGCTACAGAGTCAGCATCGATGTGGTTACTCAACCTTTCTTCGCATTTAACCTTTAGCCTTTCTAGGCCATATTTGTCCGCAGCAACAAGTAGATGCTGAGCCATTGTCGCATCTTCTTCTTGATCCATCTCTAGCAACGTATCCGTGTAGATGAAGTTAAGTAGAGCTTTGAACACTTGTGCATCCATGTCATTTATCTCTATCACGTCGTTTACGTTTACACCCTCCTTCATTGGCCCAAAGTGCTCCGCCACAAAGACAGGCGAGCGCACCGCGAGCACCAATCTGTGCGCGGCGAAGGTCTCGCCGCCAACTAGGAACTCTACATCGGCGCACCGTTTACTTGAGAGAAGATCGCCGTAATGCAGGTGCATGTCCGACGACGGTGGCACCGCGATGATGGGTGGCGGCGTTTCCTTGGTGATTACCACATGGACCCCGATAGCGAAGCAATCGTCTTGGACATGTCCCGATTTTTCCAAGTCGCCCTTTGCAATGAAGGTTTCAAACCCTAGGTTGTTAGCCATGTCGTCTTGGTTCGAAGTGCTCAACAGTCGGGTGGCGTGGGTGTGAGACGGCACTGGTTTCCCGTGCTGGTCGAGCAGGCTGAAGGTAGCCTGCACCATGACAGCCTCGGCGATGGCGTCATAGAGAACGAGGTAGATAGAGATGAAGTCCTTGCTAATGTCGTTCTTTCCGTGTGGGTAGTAGCAGATGTACCAAGTGCGGTCTCCCGCGTTGAACGGGAAGGAACTGAGAGATCTGTAACAGTGGACTTGTAAGGTGCGGGAGTAGCCATCGATCTTGAGCACGTGATAGGCTTGCGTTGTGACGACGGTGGAGGCGGCGGCTGACCGAGACGGGGTGGGACAGCCGCCGCCGGCGACATTGGACGCGATGCTCGCCGTCGCCATGGTAGGAATAGGATGTTGGATGGGCGGAGGCAGGGGTATGTATGTACTACGCGTCCTCTGTTGGCTTGGCCGTCGCGTAAAAAGGTACGTTTGCTAATTAAACACCTGCGTTCTCTTGTGCTTGCCTATATATGACACGGCCCGGGAGAGAAGTGTTGATGTTGATGTCCGACTCCAATTAATTGGTTGCCCGGCCGGAGAAGAGAAAGAAGGATCCCGATTTTAAGTTGTACTGTTTGGAGCTTCTCGGATACCAAGTTGTATTCCTGTACTCCTTCGTGCTGCTTGTCCAACAATACAGCTAGAGCTGGAGTTATATACTCAGTTCGTTTCATATTATTATAATTAAGCTGCTTTGAGTTATTTGAGTAATTGATTAAGTCTATAAAAAATATAGCAACGTTTTTTTTTAAAAATAAGTTTCACTAAATCTATCATTGAGTTATCTTTATGATATATTTATTTTATGTTGAAAATATTGGTATACTTTTATTTATAAACTTGATTAAACTTAATTTGTATGACGTGGCACACTGATCAAATATTTGCTCGTGTCAGTGTCGTGCATTGATCAGATCGTCGATAGATACACTGATATACATCATTCCATGAAGTGCTATAGCTCGATCTTGGATTTGTTATATAAAAGAGTCCAAATTACCTCTCTGAATTATTGTGATAGCTCGGGTTACTTGTAAACTATATAACCGAACATTCTACGCACCAAACTTTTCAAACCAGATGAATAACTTTCCTAAAATAATCTGGAACGATTTTTAGCCTGCATAGCACACTTGTGATAATTCAGTTAAAAAATAATGCCCCCTCTACCCTAAAACATAGAAAGTTTTAGCTTCGGCAGGAGTAGAGAACAGGGATAAAAGACTTGGTTGCCTTGTAACGAGTGAGCTATAGGCAGACGATGTTAATCGATATGCTAATCATTAATCAATAAAGTGCCTTGATCCCTTGCAACTTGCATGTTCTCTGCATTCCCCCGCACCCCGGCGTCGGCCGTCGCACCCACACTCTCCTTGCCTCTTGCTGCCTTGCATGTCGTCGCCACCGGAAATACATATCATATATACTAGCATATTGTATTGCAACGAGATTTTGATTGATGAAAATGATTATTAACCTGCTATTATCATGATTTTCTGTATACATTTTCTCTCAGATTCTACATATATTTGTAATTAATATATGTGTTCTATGATCATACAATATTATTTTTTTCTACTTACAAAAAGTAGATATGGTTGTGGGGGTAGTTGGTATGTGGTTCCCTGGCCTCACATGTCTTTTCTTCACTTCAAAAGGGTAAAGAGTTGGTGGTGAGAGTGGTGGCAGATTCACCACAACTTTGTTTTCAGAGGAGTATAGATATAGATATATGTACGATGGAGGACTTAATGTTGATATATAATATATAATTAAGTTTAAAAAGCACATGCAGCTAGCTCGTAAGTACGGGCGACAAAAACTGATTGGAACATATAATTGGAAATCTTTAACTAAAGTATGTCTGATACCAAATTCCGATTTCTACGCTGTTGATTTGGCCTTCTTGGTTTTTTGATAGGAAAATTGCTCTCTCCAGTTGACGAGCAACAATGTTGAAACTTATGTCCTCCAAAATATCAGCACAGCTCTGGATCAAATACTGAAAATCACTTGTACTTACAATCGCGGACAATACTGCTAAGGAGTTAAGGAACTCAAAGCATGCCTCCTTGAGACCATAGCAATAGTGCTTCTCAGCTAGCACCAAGATGGTTGCCACGGAGTTGGCATCAATATGGCTACTTAATATTTCTAAGCAGATCATCTTCAACCTATGCAGGCCATACTTGTCTGCTGCAGCAAGTAGATGTTGAGCCATTGCGGCCTCATCTTCTTGATCCATCTCCGGCAACATGTCTGTGTAGATAAACATAAGTAAAGCCCTGACACTTGCGCCTCCATATCAAATATCGGTATCTTGTTTACAGTAGTACCCTCCTTTATCAGCCCAAAAAGCTCCGTCATGAAGACAGGCGATCATGCTGCGAGCACCAATTGATGCGCGGTGAAGGTCTCGCCGCCAACTAGGAACTCAACATCGGTGACGTACCGTTCTTCGCTCGAGAGAAGATCGCCATAATGCAGGTGCATGTCCGATGGTGCTACTAGAAAAATCATTTGTTGATAGAAAAAAAATCGTGGCATCAATACTAAAATTGTGGCAATAGATACATGTTGCCACAATTTTAAAATCGTTGCTAGCCGTGGTAATAAATGGCATGGTAATAGGTTATTGCGACGATTTTTATTTAGTAGTAATAAATTTAGATGTTGCCACGGAATGGATGTGGCAAAAAGTCATATTGCAACACTTCACATCGTTGTAATAAAAATTATCGCCACCACTCCATATGTAGCATTAGTTTTACGTACCAAATTAAAAATTCAAATATTAATCTATCATCCTATCTATTTATTTTTTTTGATATCGTGTCTTGGCTAGGATTTGAACCTAAGACCTATCCTTCACGCGTGCTCTCCTTTACCAACTCACCTACGCATCAATTCTATTGGAAAATGCATATCGTTCCATTTAAGCCTACCTAACTGAGATTTGAATCATAGATTTGAATATCTAAAAGATTTCAAATGAAAAAGTTATCACCTATAAAATTGTAGATCTCGTCGAGAGCTATAATTTCCATATAAAATTTGTCTCTATCCGTGTCCATATGAAAAAAATTAAGTTAAATTATGAGACGCCAATTTTTTTATTGCAACGAATTTGTTGATCGTGGCAACAAAAAATAGTGAAAAGTACCATGGACTATGTAAATTGCCACAAAAATTAAAATTGTGGCGATAGAACATGTTTTTTTTTGCAACAGTATGATTTTTTGTGGCGATATCTCATTTTCTATTGCAATAAAAGTACTAAATAAAACAACGATTATAGATCGTTGCAATAAAATATAATTATTTGCCATAGAAAAATTATCATTGCAATAGTACAATATATTGTTACGAATTATTTTTTGTTGTAATAATTTGGTAGCAATAGCTCAATTATCTTGTAGTGGTGGCACGGTGATGGACGACGGTATTGCTTCCTTGGTGACGACCACATGGACCCCGATGGCAAAGCAATCGTCCTTGAGATGTCCTGATCGCTCTAAGTCGTCTCTTCTGATGAAGCTATTATACCAGCTATTATACCCCAGGGTCTTAGGTAGAGTGCCATAAAGAGAGAATTTAAGTAGTGGGGTTGTGAGGGTGTGAGATGGCATCGGGTTCCCCTTTTGATCGAGCAAGCTAAACGTAACCTTTGCCGACACTATGTCGGCGGTGGTGTCCTAGAGAACGAGGTAGATGGAGATGAAGTCCTTTGCTTTCCTTGGTGCACCCTATTGGGCAGTAGTGGATGCACCAGGTGTGTCCTCCGGCGCTGAATGGTGAGGAAAGGAACAAGTGCTGGCTAGGGTCGTTGGATTTCAAGGTGTTGGAGTAGCCATCAATAGTGAGCACATGGAGGGTTCGTGCAGCGATGATGGTGGAGGCTGACCGTGATGGCGGGGTGACGCCGCACTCGCCATCGACGATGTTGGGCACGGGGGTCGCCGTCGACATGCCTTCCGCTGGGCTGTCGCTGGCGTCGGAGAGAAACACTCAGGGGTCTTCTGGCTAGCTTCACAAGGTGGTGGGCTAGACGACTTGGGTTCGAAACTTCACCCCTTCTAATTATTTAATATTAGGTTCTTCCCTAATATTCGTGTTTTTTTTTAAGTCGCTGGTGTCGGACACCACGCGGGGTTCGTTGCCTGTTTAATTTATGGCCATTGTCCGTAGAAGATTTAAGTCCGAACAAATTGAACACATGTGTTCTTATACGGAAAAAAGAAGCTGGCATATCCAACTAAGACACGGAGAGATCGAAGTGTTGATATCTGACTCTCCAATTGCTTGCTTAAATTCGTGATGAAGAGAGAAAGAAAGGATTCCGGGCGATTTTTGATTTGTAGCTTCTCGGATTGGTCTAGTACTTTGATTCGTTTGATTCTCTACTAATCGAACAAACGTGTCCGAAAAGGGCTCGTCCACACTCCTTGGCCATCGTCCATTTACTAATAGTAGAAAGTTTGTCCCTGCCCCTAAATGACTAATGGAAAGTTTACGGACAGTAAGTTTGTTTTTTTAATTCGAATATTTATAGGCAAATTTTACTACATGACATTGTAATTATGTAGTTTTACCTCAGGGATACCGCGTAAGTAAAGTCTTGAGGGAAGACATCTCATAATCGTGGATATTTGCCGATGAACACCGCGCCGTCTAAAGGAAACTTGCTGTGCTGACGTGGCGGACGGTAGGCTGTTTTTTGACGTGGTCGGACCTAAATGCCACTGCGCCTAAGAGGCTCGTTTGTTCGCGGTGAAAAGATGGCCCGGCGTCGGCGCATCCCAGACTCGGGACGGCCACTCCGGCCGAGCTAGAGAGAGGAACGGCGTAGTGCTTGTTTTGGAGGGAGGGATCCACACGCGCCAAGCTTGGGGGGGTGCCAGATCTAGTTGTCGCTCCCGGGTAAACCAGCGACAGGGAGGGGAGGGAGGGACGCCGCCACCCACGGCCACCCACGCCGCTGCCTCTCGCACCGCCTCCTCTCATCCACCCCCGCGCGCCGGCCACTCATCCGTCGTCTCACCGCCACCACTACCGCCGATGCCACCACCACCAATGCACCACACTCCGACCCCTTCACCGCCGCGCTCGCAGAGTGCACCAGGGAGCGCGCCACCGGCGCGGCCACCGCCATCCACGACCTCTTCCCCGCGCCGCCGGCGCCACCGCTGCCAGCCTCCTCACGCCGCTGTCCATCCATCTGCCTCCCACTCACATGCGCGCAACCATCGCCATGGCCCCTCCTCGCGCGTTGCCGGTTTGCCTCCTACTCCTCCTCCTCCTCTTGCTCGCCGTGCCGTGGCCACCGGTGGCGGTGACAG